TTGACATAATTTTAAATTTATCCGACGTTTCGCGTGCTTTACAGCGTGCGTGGTCACGGTGACTGAAGACAAAAGATGTTGAATGTCAAAAAGTATCACAGCTGCAGAGAAAGTTGCATTATCTGTATTTATTTCCCCGGAGTTGGTATCGACTAAAAGATGGAGGGTTTTGGCAAAAATGGCTCACGGTGTCCTCTATTTTCGCGGATTGTTTTTCTTTTTGAGATTTTAATTTGGATATTATTGGATCCCAGGTGTTTGACAATTTTAGGCCGTCTTCTCTATTGAAATTGGGGTGTTTTTTGATTGCAGTAGATCTCAAATTACTCCACAATGAAACCATGGTGAGTTTTGACATTGAGTCACTATTTACAAACTCACCACTAAATGACTGCCTAGATATCATTGCAAAAAGACTTAGGGAACAGAACATGTCACCAGATTATGTAGATATTGTAAAACACTGTCTTACATCAGGATACTTAATGTGGAAAGATGAGTTCTATGTGCAGGTTGATGGAGTAGCCATGGGTTCTCCAGTGTCACCTATAGTCGCTGACATCTTCATGGAGGACTTTGAGGAGAGAGCTCTGGCCAATGCCCCGGTTAAACCTCGACTGTACAAGAGATATGTCGATGACACATTTGTAGTACTCCCCAATGACAAAATATCTGCATTTCTAGCACATTTAAATTCAATACACAAGAACATTAAATTTACTGTTGAACAAGAAAACAACAACTGTCTGCCCTTTTTAGACATTTTAATTATACGCAAAGCAGATGGCACACTAGGTCACACAATACACAGGAAGGCAACCCACACAGATAGGTACCTCAATGGTGAATCCCACCACCACCCTTCACAACTGCTTTCTGTCGGTAAATGTTTGTTTCAGAGAGCCCAACGTCTTTGTGATGATGCCCACCTCGAGGAGGAACTACAGCATGTCAAACAGGTGCTACACCGAAACAAGCTGCGCATCCCCCGGCTACATCACAAAAACAAAAACAAGACACAAACAGTTCCCCGCCAGCCAGCCTACTTGCCATATGTAAAGGAAGTTACAGATAGAATTAGCCGGATCCTAAAACGAGCTTCTATTCATACAATTTTCAAGCCGCACAAGAAGATTCAGCAATTCTTAAGACCAATCAAAAGTAACACCCCATTGCAAGATGCAGGTATATACAAACTGGATTGCGACTGTGGCCTGTCTTACATAGGGCAAACTAAACGCAATATGTCCAGCAGACTCAAAGAACACATTGCAGACATAAGACATAGACGACACACAAAATCAGCAGTCTGTGAACACATACTAGATAGGCCTAATCACTACATACGCTTTGACCAACCGAAAGTACTTGCGAAAGAGAAAAGATTCTTCCCAAGATTGGTACGCGAAGCCATTGAAATCAAAAAACACCCCAATTTCAATAGAGAAGACGGCCTAAAATTGTCAAACACCTGGGATCCAATAATATCCAAATTAAAATCTCAAAAAGAAAAACAATCCGCGAAAATAGAGGACACCGTGAGCCATTTTTGCCAAAACCCTCCATCTTTTAGTCGATACCAACTCCGGGGAAATAAATACAGATAATGCAACTTTCTCTGCAGCTGTGATACTTTTTGACATTCAACATCTTTTGTCTTCAGTCACCGTGACCACGCACGCTGTAAAGCACGCGAAACGTCGGATAAATTTAAAATTATGTCAAATAGTTGTAAATTTATAATAATAAACATAACTTTAATCCGGTAAAAAGCGTTTTTCTTTAAATGTGTAAAGGTTATGTTAATCAAAGACAATACAACGAATAAAATACCAACGAAACAGACGGTTAATAGTTTTTTTCCCTTTCACATCTTTTTTTATAATAATAATAATAAAAGTCCGTTTCATTTCTAATTGTTAAGCTTAGAATTGTTGTATATATACATTATTTTTCCTTATATCATAGCTTCCTTCGGTACCGTTGATCGGAACCCCTTCACGGGTAAAGGCCTGCTCTAGCTTTTGCCACATACATCTGTCCATGGCTCCATCCACTTCCTGCTAACGCTTCAATTTCTTCTATCTTCCTTTTTTCCCTCTGGGTTTAGACCACGAAATATATAGGTACTTATCAAAATTTAATCAGTCCATTTGTTATGTTTAAATTAAAGCTGCGTTCTCTTTTCATCACAGCGTAAATACAATTTGGCAGAAAGAGACGAGTTCTTCTCAAACTTGCTTCTAGTATAATGTTTATTAGCAAAAATATTACTATAAATACTTATTATAATTAATAACTTAATTATAATTAATCTATTGTCACTTAGACTATGTAAAATTCCGTAATATCATTATGCAATTAAAAAATGTGTGTCAAGTAAATAGGATTACTGCAGTTCCTCAGTCTTATCGAAGTAATTGTGAGGAATAAGCTAAAGTAGGCTTTCTTGGAATGTTATACATATATCGTTAGTACATAATGCCTTTTCCAATGGCTGTATAGTTGAAATACTCTTTACAGATGTCAACAGTTGACTTGCTAGCGCTATTCACAACCGTGATGTAGTATGTTTGATTCCGATCTGTTTTTGTCAACGCAATTATTTTTTGTTTAAAACGGCGAAGAAAATATTGCGTACAATGAATAGTTTAAGGCTATATGCTTACGGCTCATGTAAAGCGACCCGGGTTTAAGGGTCTCGCAAATTGACTAGGAAGAGTAGTACAAATGAGGAGAGGAGACGCCTATCTCGGAACAGCTCTGTAACGCATTTTGGAGGCAGCTAGAATTCGGTCTCTTTCTGTAGTAGCAAGAGTTTTTTTAAATAGGACCCCTAATAGCCTAGCAGGCACGCGTTCAAGCAGATCTGTGTCAGAGAAGCTTGACAGCAGGGAAGTGTTAAATCCGGGGGGGATTCTTAAAAAGGGACTTTATTTGTTGAAGCTAGGTCTGGTGGGCTTGATGTCTCCCTCCGGATGACAGTTATTCAGGAAATATCCTCATGATATTTATCGGCGAGTTGGAGCCCACTAGCCCGCGAGTCCCGTGTCACTTATTTGACAATCCTATGGTAGAATTTTTCCATCTACGATCTGTGCTCGAGTAACATGAGCCCATCTCGGGATACCCTCATGCCAGTCTTCATATCGTATCGGCTCTGCGAAAGAGTGCTTAAGTAGGTGTAGCTTACCCGGATCTGTACATAGGAGAAAAGGATAGCTGGTGTCTCTAATTCCTCTTAGAAAAGAACTAGAACTTTTCTCTTATTTATAAAAAAAATTTTGTAGCGTTAGCAGCCATTACATTAAATATGTATATGGACAGTTTACGCATAATAAGACATTCTCTAGAAATATTTTTGTACGATACGACTACGTGCCATATAAAAGGCTTTTACTTTTGAAAAATACAATGAACAAAGAAAGTAATAAGCAATTGATTGTATTGAAATTCATATCGCATCGATGAATATAATTACTTCTGAGTGCTGACACATCGTATGTAGAGGTATTTGACCACAATGCATATTGATGCATTCATGTTCGAAGAAAAAAGAAAAAATGTAGGTAGGCTTATATCATATAGAATTTATTTTAAATTAAATGATTGGTTCTTACAATAATTAAGGAAATGTATAATTATTTTGGGTAAATTTGTCAAATCACAGTTCCTATAGTAATAAATTAAACCCTAATGATTTGTGAAATGAATGAAGGTAGGTACAAATTTTTGGCTTTATCCTAAACTAATCTGATCACAAACGCCACTTAGAAGAAAAAAAAACACCTAACTTAACCTAATGTAATTCACTGGGGCTCACTGAGAACTCAGACAATATATCTACATCACCGATGTCCAGATTGAGCATTCTGTTAAACGAGCTGGATCTGGACATCTATAGTTGCTTACCTCACACTTTGAGAGCGATTTTCGTTTAATTTATTTTTTATTTACTTAAGTTTGTTTAAATTATATTATTGTTTTGCTTAATTAATTTTATTACTTCTTGTATGATATGTTTGCCTGTAAGTGCTTGACACATTAAAAACTGTATTTTACTTTTCTTCTGTCAATGTATCAGTGTGCCAAGCGTTGGCAAGCTTTTATGAATTAATAAATAAATCATGCATTATCAGTTTTTTAAGGGGTTCCAAAGCCCATACAAGTCGTAAAGAACGATAGAAAAGAATTGGAGCTGTTTTAACGTGGAGTAACAAATTTAGCTTCTTCATGTGAATTATCTAAGAAACCTCTCTTCCTATTTCGAATCAAGGTTATATTTCAATAAACAATTACAACGGTACATACTCGTAAAAGGCTATTTGCTCGTAGCCTCACATAATAAATCAAAAATCACTGATGTACAACCTTGCGCGCATTTTTTTGTCTATGAATTATCAAAATGTAGGTGAAAAGTCATAGACCGAGTGGCTTAACCACAGATACGGAGCGGGATTGTAAGCCGCTTTTGAAATTGGAATTTTACGATTCCCCTATTAAGTGAAGTTATCTAGATGGCGCGAAATGAGATAGGAGCGGCTTTCAGTGAGATTGTTTTTTGTTTTTTATGTGATAGGAGGCTAACCTGAAGTTGAGTGATACCGCCGCCCATGGACACTCACATCGCAAGTGCGTTGCCGGCCTTTTAAGACTTGGGACGATCTTTCGTTGAGATTGATTTGTCTATTAATCAATCAATCGATTAGTCGATTATTGTTTTATCTATCTGTACCTACTAATTATTCCATTATAAGACCAGATTTCTCGTTTATTACAGTATTTTAAGCAATATTGAGCCATTGTAATTGTAGCTGCAAAATAAATAGGTAGTACCCATTATCCACAGCGCAATAATGATTGATGTCTAATGGCACAGATAACTTTATCATCGTAATATTTGCTGTTAGGTTTATTCTAAGCTTTGAATCTGAAGACCCTCGAGTGCCGATAAATCAGAGACAGAAGCATTGGTAGACTTAAAGGAAATAAAAAATATCCTAGTTAATAGCGGGATCGTACCTGGAAATTTCTTCTCTGGCCATTAATTGTAGCTTTGCTTCTGGGTGGTCAAGTTCGGGCAAAGCCCCTGCTGGTGGTGTGGGGTTGTTCGCGTCCTGCTGATGCACGGCACTGCGATCGGCGGAGGCGAGCAGGCGTAGGGCTCCACTCGCCGTGTTTGCTATCTTTTGTCTATTAAATATTATATTGTAGTATGTATGTGTTTTAAAAATCTCCTTTTTGGTCATTTTTTTCTGCCTCGTGATTAGCTACTTCTTTTATATATTAATTGTGACTCAGTTAACATTTGGCAGAGCTTTTACATGTCTGTTTATACATATTATTATTTATAAATATAAATAATAGTATTCTCTAGATTCTATTTTATTTTATTTTAGTTATAGTTCCATCTCCTTTCGAAGGTTGGCGATTATCATGGCTACTATGCCGCGCTTCTGAACAATGAGTTGGTGCTTTGACTACTTTTTTATATATTACTAGCAAACTCGGCGAACTCCGTTTCGCCACCAGATGGCTTCGTTTTCTGTAACATTTCGTTTGGTGATCCCGCTTTTCTGTTGAAATTTTTCCTGAATTTTCTTTGCTATAAACCTCACGGAGCCCGAGCCCTTTCCAACGAATGCAAAACCGTGGAAATCGGTTCGTGCGTTCTGGAGTTATAGCGTCAGGAAGGAAAACCCGACTTATTTTTATATAGTAGATGTCAGATGACAATTGTCAGTTGTCACTTGATTGGTGTCAATTCAACTCGTATAAATAATTTAAAATCAACGATAATTATTCTACTACTTTCGATTGTAGATTGTACAAAGCACTTTACTTTAATAATGTACTGAGCGCAAATTGTAGAGTTCAGTGTGCGGCGATCCTCATCAAATCTCCAGTTAATTACGCGTAAAGATAACGGTCTTACGTTACTGTTATTTTATTTTGCAACAAAACGGCTGGTGGTTTAGCTCGGTGACACTACCTGACCTGTTTAACTCTTGTAACGTAACCACAGATAATGAGATTGACAAACAATACCTAACTGTTTGTGCCTTTGTGTTTGCCGACTGTATGTAATTAATATTTTGTTCGGTACGTAGAGAGATCAAATACCAGCTCCAAAGTGCGATGAATTTGTGTAGAGTAAAAAAAAAATTAATATTTTGTTCGGAACATTAAGAGAATAGCACCAAAAAAGGTATAATAAATCATTGTGTAGTGTAACAATTATGTATAACTTTTACTTATATATATACTACTACCTAAAAAACCCGGCTTCGCCCGTGCATATGGAGTAGATATGAGATGACGTGGTAGAGTCGAAATAAAAAAATAAACTATGACGTAAAAAGTAAAAAAAAGTTTATTGAAAACGTTTTCTCATTATTTACAATACTTGTTTATAAACAACATTTTTCATTTTATTGTCCGGAGTATATATACATAAATTTTTCGGATTTCCTACTCTTGAGCAAGCTACATATAGCTGACCGTGAGAGAAGCAGGATTCTTTGAGGTTAATGCCACAATATTTTAAAGTTTGTCCTTGCGCTTTGTTAATTGTAAAACTAAAGGCTAATTTTATTGGAAACTGCAGTCTTTTAAATTGAAATGGCAATTCCGAAGAGATCAGAGGTATTCTAGGTATAAATACTGTCTGTCCTTTGGTCTTTCCAGAAATAAGTTCAGCTTCAATGATATTATTCGATAGCTGTTTTACGATCATTCTAGTTCCATTACATAATTTTGGGGAGTTGAGATTTCTGAGTAGTATGATTGGAGTTCCAATTTTCAGACGAAGGTAGTGTAATGGCATTCCTGGTACTTGTAAAGAGTTTAGAAATTCAGTGGGGAAGTTGACACTTTCTTCAATGGATACCATCGTGTCGATCGATTTATATATTTTCTCTTCACCAGGTATTTTCTTTAGAATATTAAAATTGATATCGTCAACAATATTATTTTTAGTGGCCAAAATTGCTCTTTGAAATAACCACTTTTATTAATGTTTTGAGAACTAATTTGGATAACTAAAATTATGTCGCTTTAACTCCAAAATATAAGTTAGCTAATGACGTATAAATACACAAAATTTAATAACTTTTTTATAGCAACAAATTAAATTTAAGACTATTGAAATTGGAATTTTAAATTTCGTGTCACTACTACACATGCTACAATTGCTCGCAACGCTTTTGGAAATGCAACCCAAACAATCGTTGTCCTGAATGAAGTTCAAATATTCGATAACAGATGGCGCCGCTATACTTAATTTCCAAGTTGTAGGGTTGGAAAGTTCCTTATATCTTTAGAAACACGCCCTTTAGATTAAAACGGGAACTTTCTTGTTCGAGGGGGGATAAAGGGCTATCACACCACATAAGTCCCTTTATCGTGTCGGGACTCCTTTTTAAGTTTTATCGGCACGCACATTTTATCGACTTAGTTTTACTTATATATATATATATACCTCGTAGACCAGACACGGCATTAATACTGTTTACTAAATAATTTTAGGCAAAAAATGTTTGAAAATGAACTTGGCAAGGAGATCAAACGAAATGCAAATTTGTTTAGAGAATTTATGTAATAAAAATTGAGTCATGTAAATTTCTTGACAATTTACGAGTTTTTAATCGGTTTTATTTTAATATAATTTGTTTTAAATCTTGAGACTAGAGTTTATCAGTTGGTTTGTTAGGTAAATTGTGTATCGTGAATCACCAGAAATGTGCTAGATAATTCAAATGAATACCGACTTAAACCTGTATGGTAACATGAAAGCACAGATTATATATCTAATATATAAAATTCTCGTGTCACAATGTTCGTTCCCATACTCCTCCGAAATGGCTCGACCGATTTTTATTAAATTTTTTATGCATGTTCAGTAAGTCTGAGAATCGGCTACTATCTACCGTTCAAATCTCTAAGGGATAAGGAGTGTTCACCCCAAAATTTTATTTTTATTTTTTAGACAATTTTTTTTTTATGATACAGCAATTTACTTACAAATATACATACAACCCCTAATTTTCACCCCTCTACGATCAACCCCTATTTTTTAATATAGTATTTTTATTGAACTAAAAAAATGTTTCCTAGAAATAATATACATGGCAAAACAAACAGTTGCTGGGTCAGCTAGTGATAAAAAAAAAGATTTAATGTTACTTAAAACGCTAAGGAACATATCTGAAACGAAACCAAAATCATAGGACGTCAGAATGAATGAAACGTATTTATATTCGGTCAAATTTAGAATTGCATTTTTTTCATAAATAATAATATGGACGGACGCCATATTGGAATCGCGCCAAGACTCCGGCAATTATATTAAGAACCGTAAAATTGCTACTGAAATCCCCGCATGACCCACTTCGTAATACGTTTCGGGAGGCGAAGGAGATCTTTTTAAAGTGGATAAATGCCAAATTCTTAAATCCATACATTCTGAAGAAACTAATCTGTTATATTGTTTATTGCCTTTTTATTGACATGCTATCAATTCTTTGAAAGTTTAATGCATTTTGACATTTCTTGGAGTTTAAGGTGCTATTAATGTGTTTTGAATTTAGTTAAAATACATTATACTATATTAACATAATATAAATGCAAATAGATAGTTTAGATTTTGGTAAGTTTTGTCTGTTCGTAAGCGATATTTATTAACAACTAGCAGACCGGCCAAGCGTTGCTGTGGCTAAGGTTTTTGTTATATTACATAGTAGCAAACTATTCAAGGGAACCGGTAGGAGAACACCAGTCATGGGGACCACCATGCTTTTTTGGTGGTTATGCCATTAAATTGTAGCTTATGTGAAACGTTGGTACTTTCAACATAGCGCCATCTGTTAGAATTGTGACTATCAAATAATAAACAAATGTTTTGCAATAAAATAATATTGCGGGTATAAATTGAGATGTAAGCTATCCTATCTTTTAAGTTGGATCAAACTACACACGGTGTGCAAATTTGATTGATATTGGTTCGGTAGTTTAGGAGTCCATAGCGGACAAACAACGTGACACGTAATTTATATATATTAAGATATTCTATGTGCATGTGCATGGTATTTATAACATAAACAAACCTAATAATATTTTTTTATTTAAATATAATATACCTGTCTCATAACAAAAATACGAAAGTGAGAAATCTTTTGTTTTTTTTCTTTTATTATTAATTTACTTTACGCCACAGACTTTTGCTTGTAATAGTTTTTATACCTATGTTACCATAAAATAAATAAAAATGAAATAGCTTATCTTATTTAAGACACGCCCTCAGACAAAGTGAAAGCTTCCTCCAAATCCTTCCACTTGTCCCGCTATCTCTTTTATTACATCTTCCCAGGTTACTGGTGGGCGTTTCTCTTTTTTCTTCCCACCGATCCTTTCCATACCATACCGTAGCGTACCTATGTTACTATAGCAATAATTATTAACAATTTATTTTTCTGTACTTTCTTCATCGCAATGTAGAAACTTTTTTGTTTAATAAAAAGGCGTCTTCTATTTCAAATCGACCTTCAGTGTTGCCATTAAACGTTCACCATAATGTAATCAAATGATATCAACATCAAAGCGATTACCTAACGAACCGGTGTAGGAACGGACATGATCGGGTCCCGATATTAAACTAGATATTTGCATACGCCCGTCTGTTCACGGTTATCGTGTTATGTTATTTTGATGTTGCAACCCTGGTGGTATTTAAATATTATTTATTTAGACAATCACTTACTTAACTTACTCAAGATTGCTAATGGAAGTTATGTACCAGCGCTGTCAGACATAATCTACAGTTACTAAACAGTAGAATACGCAGCTCGGTTCTGACTGTTCTATCCAAACACTGCTGTACTAAAGAAAGCTTAATTATTACACCGTCCTAACACTCACTCACACACACGTACATACCCTCTCCCTCTATCACACACACACACTCACGTACACCCATACAACTTAATTTCTACTAACTTCTAACTAGTTGACTGTTTTGTTTTTCTTTCCTTATTTAAAACGTTAAATTTCTTTGCCTACCTATATACTCGTATGTATGTACTTTTTGTTACCACTAAATATGAGTTTGCTGTAGAATGGAAGCCTGGTTATCCATATTACAGGTTGTTACCTAGCTTGGAAATCAGTCTCCAAATATCTTAACTGTAATCTTACTGTTTGTTGCAAAGGTTATATGGGAGTAAATAAATTATTATTGTCACATTTCATTCAT